ATGATATGGCATATTATCATAAATACCACCAGTATCGAAAAATCTGAATGAATCTATATGATATTCATAAAAATTATGGAAAAGTTATTATGGTGAATATATGGAATACGCATTGTACTCTTTTTCCCTTGGCTGAGGTTTTGTCCCATTGGGTTTTCCTAGCAAGGTTTTTAATGAGGCAACAAGGATGACGTATTCACATGAATAGTGTACTCTTTTTCCTTCATTAGGATTTTGTCCCACTGGGTTTTTCCTAATAAGGTTTTAACGAGGCATATTCATGGTATAATGAGGACTACTATGATTCCTCATGATGATGAGAAAAGATTGGAGTGGCTGTACTCTTTTTCCTTCGATCAAGTTTTGTCCCACTGGTTTTCTTGACAAGGTTTTAACGAGGCAGCACGTAGATACTCCATTAAAGATGATCTATTTGAGGGGGAGCAATGTTGTACTTCCACAATGCTCAGGTTTTGTCCCACCGGGTTTTCCTGAGGAAGCAATGTTATAATTTCAAGATGATCAGGTTTTGTCCCACCGGGTTTTCCTGAGGAGAAATGTTGAGATTCCACAATGATCAGGTTTTGTCCCACTGGGTTTTCCTGACATGCTGAAGCAACGGTACATGATAGCCACAAGATATACTTGAAGATGTGCAAATTGGACTTTGTTCTAATCAGTTAAAATATGTTTAGAAATAGTCATTCAAGGGGGAGTGTTGTGAAATATTTATAAAATAATGTATATGAATGACTATTTTGTCCCTGATGTAATTGTATTATTACAGTTGTGCCATCAGAAGTTTCCTATAAATAGGAGGTTCAGTTATAATGAAAATCGTACCTAAGAGAAAACATTTTCTCTATTATCTCTCTTTCTCTCTAGTTTTATAACAAAAGCAAAATTTTATTTATTTAGTTACCATGGCACACATTAAAAATCACAGCACAAAAATGGGTAAAAATTCAAAACAAAACTGTGTCACGATGAACTTGAAAACCTGTTATATGTTAAAAACCACTTGGTACAGCAAAATGAACTTATAACACATGAAACGAAAAGGATGAAAAGAGATTAGGAGAATGTCTTCAAAGCATTCTTTTGTTTCTTTCTTTCTTTTGAAATTACACATATGCACAAGACCGATTTACTTTCGACTAATGTACCTTCCGAAAGCTTCGTCATTAAGTTTTGCAGTCTCGTTTTCACGGCCTTCGACCTTCCAAAGTCGTTCTTTTCTTCGTTTCTTGCCGTTCGGATACATATGTCGACAATGTACGCTCGGCTTGATTTTCACGCCTAGATAAGTCCAAGTCAAACTAAATAAGTCAAAGTCAAACTCACGAGCTCTTATATTGTCGTGCATTTTGCGACAGTAACTTACTTACCGTGCAACTTTCGTCTCCTTGCATCTCGTTTTGGCTTTTCCTTTAACGTCCAACTTTGTATTGTCCAAATCATACGAAAAAGTTATCGATTGTAATTCACGAACTTGATTAGATGTATCGATTTTGTTGTCAACAGCATCGAGGCTCACAGGGGAAGAAGACTTTTCGATTTCCTATCATAAAGAGTGACAAAAGAACATGAAAAAATATAAAATTTACTGTCTTTAATTTGTCGAACGTTGAATTCAATTTGATAGTGCAATAACAGGACATATTTTTTGCGTAGCATCGTACGATTTTCGTACTTTTAATTAACCACCAAACTTTGACGATGTTCGTTTTGTGTGATCCGAATTATATGTTTTTTCTTGCACATTACTGCAAAAGTTCTCACAATACATTAACGGATGAAAGTTCGAATTATTCCTATGAATATTATAGCAGTAAGGTTTAAGAATATTTCAAACCTCGATTTTGCTTAAACAGCCTGTGTCTAATTCACCAAACGAGCACGACATATTTTCGTCATCATCACAAATGCAAAGATCATGCTCGTTTCCGAAAAACTCCTCAAAGTTTCGAAATGTCAAGTCGACATCAGGTATATCCGAAGCATCGAAACATGTGACTTCACCGTAAACTCCTAGCTCTTGCATGTTCTGAAGCCATATCTGCATTTATCATAACTTGATAATAATATATGAAAACCATATAATATATTTTGTGTTTAATTAGACTGAATCTAAAGGGTATATATTCATGACAAAACCTCATTAGTAGGCCAAAATGAGTCTCCTTGTAAGGGATTATTAATTACACTGCTCGTGAAATTCTCGAGCTGCGAAAATGGCGATGACTCTTCGGTTTTGTTTTCCGAATCAATATCAGAACCAAAATGGTCCGTGTCGAGTTTTTGCATGGTATCGTGCTCGAAAGGTAATCTGTGCGTCCGCTCCCTGACGTGGGGTAGGCTCGAATGGTCGAAAATGCCCTGCAATGGCTGTGTTTTTTCCAATTCATGGATTTGCTGCAGGATAATGTAGCTACTGCTGGACTCCCCTTCAATTTCTATGCAAAGAAAAGATATATTATTTTCATTAGACTCAACACAAAAAAGGTGTTAACTGCAATCAAATCTATGAACTAAGGAGCTTTGAAATTTGAAATGACATCACAAAATTACCAAAATCAAGCCAAAAAAGCATAATTAAAAAATAAAAATATGTAACAACTAAAAAAAAATAAAAAATCCCACATTGATCATTACCAACAAAACTACTATGCAATTCATCCGAGCCGAACCCCCACAAGGCCGCTAAATCCCTAGCCGAAGGGCAGCCCACATAACAACTAACCACCCTTCTTTGGTGCCCGGTCGAGTCATTATGGTTGTGACCGTTCGTGTCGCATTTGTGGCACGTGAACATGTGGTGGTCCATACACCGGACGATAACTGGCGCCAGCTTGCACGATTCGCAGACGAGCGTCCGAGGATGTCTGTAAGAGAGAGCATTCGCCGAGTGGACTTTGGCGTCGCACGAGAGGCAGAGGTGTGCCGAGTCTGCCTTGCAGTACACGATCGGGTTCAGTGACGAGCAAAACTCACACGTTTTGTTCATCGCCGTTTAATTTTTCTCAAAAAAAAGGTCGAGACTTTGTTGAATCAGCACAAGATCAAAAGCCCCCCTTTTTTGCTATTCTTCTTCATTCATAAGTGCAGCAAAAAGGTTCAAAAGCAGAGGATCACAGGAATATTGTGAGAGATTTTATCAGAGAAGTGTAAAGGAACAGCAGTGGCTGAGGTATTTGATTCTTTGTATGCCTATAATAAAAGCATCTTTTCATTATCTGCTTTTCTCTCTCTCTCTCTCTCTCTCTCTCTCTTTTTCTCTCTCTCTCTCTCTTTTTCTCTCTCTCTCTCTCTCTCTCTCTCTCTCTCTCTCTCTCTCTCTCTAGCTTAGCTTATCTTTGTGCACTTTTTGGGCAAGGTGTGTGTGTGTGTGTGTTAGTTTATTTTGGGAGTGACATTTGCAGCCCCAAACTGCTAACTGTTTTATCTATTTAATCCTGCATGTGTTCCCAGCCAATGACAACACGCCACGTGTCCTCCCCAAGGATTGCCTCCAAGTATGGACAAGTGAAGAGTTTGGAAGCATGGTTTGATTTTATTGTGTTTGTTGTTTGCTATTCCAAGGATTGGGATAAAGTAACACCATGTTGGTTCGTATAGGACTCGTTTACTTGAAATGATGGGATCGAAACATTTTAATTTTATCAACTTTACACGACTCGGTTTGTGTTCAATGTTTACTAAACTTGATGCATTTTAAAGCAAAAGCAATCGAGTATTTACTAATCTTGTGATAAAATGACATGATAAAAAGTAAAATATGAAGTGAAAACAAAATATATTTTTATGGCCTAAATATGTAGTTTCGTGGAGTTTTAATGGTAAAAGGAAAATTTCACATGCCGAATTTTGGACACAATGATCATTTTTAAAGTGGGATTATAATGTCCACCCTCAAGACCGGACAAAATAATCTTGTCAATCGGGCATACAAGTGTGAGAACCACATGACTAGCACTGTCAAAAGGGCCGGTCCGGCCTGCGCTGACCCGCGGTCCAAACGGGACGGGCCAAAATGGCCCGCATTTCTACGGGCTGAAAAATACATAGCCCGTGGCCCGCCCGCATTAGCCCGGGCCAAATTTGCCCGCCCGCGGGTTTTGTTTATTTTTTTTTTATGGTATTTGCACTCTTATATATTTTTTGGTTTGTTTATCCTTATATTTACTAGTATATTAATCAACTAGTAAGGTTTCATGTGTAATGATGTTAAATATTTGTCATCTAGTTTTTATTTTTATTTTTTTTATCAATAGTTATAGGGTATTCACGCGCAGAAACGACTTAATTGACATAAAATATTATTTGATTTATTAATATTTTTATTATGTAAAAAAAAAAAATGTTTCTTGTGCAAGTTAGAAATTAGAAGTAAAATAAAAAATACTAAATTTAAATAATTTTTTTTTTTTAAAAAAAACGGGCCAGCCCGCCCCAGCCCGCTGGCTGGCCCGCCCCAGCTCACGGGCCAAACGGGGCGGGCCAAATAGGCCCGCAATTGAACGGGCTGGCCAAGCAAAGGCCCAAGCCCGTCCGTTTAAGCGGGCGGGCGGGCCAGCCCGCGGGCCACTGGCCCGTTTGACAGTGCTACACATGACCCATCAACTTATTATCCAAACCAGTCATTATTAGTAAACTTTGGATAACCGGAGTTATCCAACCATAGCCTATTCCTATCCTATCAGCTCAAGTAAACAAGGCCATAAGATATTATCAATGAATGTACTTATATTATGTTGTTAGTTACCTTAAAATTTATTTAGTTACCTATAATTCTTTAAAAAACAAATCTAGAAGATTGCAAATTAACTTATAATTTTTTTTTTATTAAAACTCAAAATTGTCTCAGATATTTTTATATGTAGCGATTCAAAAGCGATATTTAAGATTTTTGTATCACATGTGTATTGAGATTTTTGTATCAGTTGACTTATCAATTAATTTTATCAAACAATCTTATTTGTCAACTAGCATTTATAATCCATAAAATATCGATAGAAAATAACCTAGTCAACCACCAAATTACCATTTTTATTGCATATATAATTTTTAGCAAAAAATTAAAACTATCACATTTATTTGCAAATACTGTTGGGTTCGCCTGTACCGTATAGGTTATACGCAGCGAAAAAATTATGTTTCAAAAACAAGTATTTATCCCATAAATACTCAACCCATACGTACATATAGCGAATGCA